ATGTACAATTCAACAGACGTGTACTGCATACGCAAGCTGAAGCCTTATGACAATGATACACAATCCAGACTATTTAATGTAAATGCCACGTCAATTTTTAAGTTCCTTAGCTACATGCACTTGACACATGCATGCATTTGCAAAACATGGACTTGGTTAGTAGCATCGTTGCGTAACTCGTATTGATAGTAAAACATGGACTTAATTAAGGAAAATAATATGAAAACGATAAGCATTCATGTTATGGATGGTCTAAAGCATGGACCAGTCATGCAGTAATAAAACTTTTCCACGCGAGACCAAAAATATTATAATCAACAACATTGAACTTTCGTTTGCGAAGTATTTTGAACTCTTAGCGCATGATTAATTTTTGCTTTAACTATAAAAAAATTTAATGATGAAGAAATCTCTTACATTGAACTTGCCTATCCAAAATATTGTCCTCTCTTGAAAGAACATAATTGTTATGACATCTACTCATCCAGCGAAAACACAAGAAGAATATTAATCGAAAACAGGAATGGTAGTGACGAGTAAAAATATGCAGGAAAGCCGACGAATGAGGGAAATATTTTTAATTAAGTGAAACATAAATCAGCATATAATTTGCCGGATAAAACATGAAAATTCTTATCAATGGAATAAATGTAGGTCTTATAACAGAGACGAACAAAACTCTTTCCAGCTACTAAAGATCTTTAATACAGAAAATCCGTCAATGTCGTAGCAATATTCTGCCACAAACGGCAGAATTCACTTTTTCGATCAAAGTGATCAGCGTCGTGATAAGGCTTCAGCTTGCATATGCTGCAATGGTCTGCTGAATTATGCATTCTTTTGCGCTTCTTAACCAGTGATAAATGCATGGTTTCTTATTCAGTGTGAAAGTTCCTCTGCATGAGTTACAGTGTATCAATCGCGAACATGCAGTAGCCATAGCGAAGATCAACTTGATGAATTTTTCGCCAAAATGCTATGTGTAGGAATTATTTGCCTGTTGTTTTAAATCTTTTCACCTCTATTGAATATTTGCCAACATTAATCATACACTGTTTTTAAGACTTTTTTTCCTTTTAATGTGAATGGTACGGAAGTTCGATTCATATCACTCTGATCGAAAAAGGGATGACTGCGCTTCTGTCGACTTGTGCTCGAATACACGGACATTAATTTTTATCAATTGTATTCAACATAAAGGTTTCTTTTGAGAGAGGAAGTTGGAAAGAGATTTGTCATGATCTAATAAGACTTAAATTTATTTTGTCGAAAAGATTTATTCGTGTTCTTGCTGGCAAATTTATTTAGTAGCTTTTCGTTTCAATTAATTAAAACATTTTTCTCCACACTCCTCAGCTATTCTGCATAAATTACACGTAACAATATTGCGTGTTAGATTATTCTCGAGTTTTCGCTTGATGAGTAGATGTCATAACATGCACGGGAAACGATGTTGCAAAGAGTGGTATTTAAATATAGTTCCTAAACTTTTTAACATGTTTCTTATACTATGCGGTTATTACAGGTTTAAAACTATATTTGATATAAATGTATATCGCGATTTGGTATGTTTTCAATTATTTTTTAAAAAGTTTAATTAAACATTTTGTGTATACATATCGCCATATATTCGGTGGTCTGGCGTAAAAATATTTATTAAGTCCACCACAAACAGGAGCTATTAGGTAATTAGCTGAACTAAAGACCTCGCGAGGCTGTTAGTTCTGTAAGCTTCTCTCGTGTGCTGATAGCTTTCATGGGGATTTCGTCTCGAGAGGCAAGTAATTCCCTGGTTTGCGGATGGTTTTCGGGTGCGCTAATTGCTTTAGGTATTAATGGAATCAGTAGTTAGCCAGGCCGACAATCTTGAATCGCTATACGCACTCATTTAAGGCTATTACAACTATTCGTTCTTTAGAAATTCTTTGTTCTCACAGTCAATGAATATTAACATAGTAGGACAATATATGATTTGGGTTTGTTATGCTACTGTGGCGAATATCAATTTCAAAGGTCACCTTGTGTTATAATGCCGCAGCTATTAATAACCTGGATTTAAAATGCACCTTGTCCTTGGCAAAGATATAATGATCGTTCGTATTTTTATGTAATTTTATGGGATGACGCTCAGTTATGTTTATTTTCATTTCACAAAAATGGAACTCGATGTAAACGTTTACAAGGTTTACAAGGTCCTACACTGTAACTATGTGCCGTGCAAAATGACGGCAAAAATTGTAGTCTTTGAGTAAACAGTGGTTGTTGTACAAGCTAGGTAGCATTATTCTCGAATTAGTAGTTATAGCCAGCCAGACAATCTTGAATCGCTGTACGCGTTCATTTAAGGCTATTACAACTATTCGTTTCTTTAGAAATTCATTTTTGTGACTACCGCGTAAGCGGTAGCCACTATGTCAAAGGCTTGCTTGCTTGCTTGCTTGCTTGCTTGCTTGCTTGCTTGCTTGCTTGCTTGCTTGCTTGCTTGCTTGCTTGCTTGCTTGCTTGCTTGCTTGCTTGCTTGCTTGCTTGCTTGCTTGCTTGCTTGCTTGCTTGCTTTCTTGAATGCTTGTCTTGGACCATGACGTCACACTCAGCACTACGTCACACTCGGCAGTTTTCGCCATTTATCCCCATTTATCGCCAACGCTTCCGGTGCAATCAAATATGCAATTCAAATGCAAATTATTTTAGTATCAACACAGCTTTTCTATACGTACGTTGTTTTGCTTACATTTTTGAGCTGTTTGAACTTTGCACGTCTTACTCAAATATAATAATCAATATTTAAACGACACATATGGTCTTCTAGTGTGAAAACAGCTACAGTATTTAGAGAACACCTGCAGACCGCCTACAGCAGGCGATTTGTTTGTCTATAGACGATTTGTTCGTCTTCTGATGTGAAAACGGCTAATCGCTCATATTTTATGAAATTTGGAGTTAATCAATACGGCAGATGCGTTGCAAAACCAAATGCACTTTCTATACTTTAATAGTGACATGTAATATTTGTAGATGTGATTGTTGTCTGCTGAAACTTTAGCATATAGCTCACATGCACAGTTTCTGTAAACATAAGTAGAGGCAGGAACGCAAAATAAAAGGCCGTGTCATTCTATCTAAAATTATGCTTCGGCTGAACAGGTCTGAACGTGATCCCAATCATTTTATACATCGTCACGCATCGTCATTCACTTCAGCATTAGCTTTACTGCCATCATTGAATATGATCAATGAATGTGGTAATTATTGGCATAATGAGTAAAATAGCCTGCTTATTTAGGAAAGAATGAGCCCCTTCATTAATCATCAGCAATGAAAAGTGATAATAATATGCCGATCCTCACTGATCCATTGTATTCTTCTCTGACTGACAAAGGATTTTACACATGCACCAATGACCTCCGGTAATGACATGGCCCATTCTTTGGACTACAGGGTGTCTTAAAAAAAACGCAATCACTTAAATATGCAGAACATCAATACAGCTCTAAAGCGCAATAGATACGCACCTCTGGGAATTGAAAATGGCTCTTAATCCTTCATTTAAAATGCTGATAAAGTCATTTTAGATGAACTATGGTGCAAAACCGAACAATATTAATATTCTTGCATATTTAAGTGATCGCGTTTTTTTTGGAGAAACCTTGTACAGTAGTGTCAACCAAGCGTATTAGTATAAAAAGTCACACCCAGTTTACCGTGCTGATTCAGTGAATCAGTTTAATCAGACGATATCCATGGCTTCGAGAAGAAATAATCCGGCCGTTATTGGCTACATACACAACCTGTCATCTTTGAAAAAAGGTAAACTGAATGGTGCGACTTCGAACTCCAAATGCAAGACAAACGGGTACAACTCAGTATTAGCACTAGTTATTCTGCCAGCCAAATCCATCATACCACTCAGATGACAAAGACAGAGCGGTAGTCACATGTACGCGCTGCGTACCTATTTTTCACACAGTCAATGAATATTAACATATAGTTGGACAATAATTGATTTGGGGTTTTGTTACGCTACTGTGGCGAATATCAATTTCATAGGTCCCTTTGTGTTATAATACCGTAATTATTAATAACCTTGAATTTAAAATGCACCCCTGCAAAGATATAATGGTCATTCGTATTTTCATATATGTGATGACACTCAGTTATGTTTATTTTCAATTCACAAAAATGAAAATCGATGTAAACGTTGTTTACAAGGTCCTAACTATGTGCGGTGCGAAATGATGAAACTGTGGTATTTGAGTAAACAGTGATTGTTGTACAACCTAGGTAGCATTATCCTCGAATTAGTAACGTAGCGAGCCCAACAATCTTGAATCACTATACGCACTCATTTAAGGGTATTTCAACTATTCGTTCTTTTAGAAATTCGTGTTCTCACAGTAAATGAATGTTAACATAGTAGGACAATAAATGACTGGGGTTTTGTTATGCTACTGTGGCGAATATCAATTTCAAAGGTCACCTTGTGTTATAATACCGCAGCTACATTATAATAACCTTTTAAAATGGACTTCTGCAAAGATATAACGGTCATTCGTATTTTTAGTTTCAACAATACGGGAGGTCGATTCCCATTATTTTGATGGACAAGTTAAGTGCGCTTCTGTTGTTTAGTGGTCGAATATACGACATAAGTGTTGGCGGGGAATTCATTTAGGCCAAAATAAGACTTTACTTATTTTTATTTTATTTTGTTGATGAGAAAATCTGTGTTTTAGACCACAAATTCATGCAATAACCTTTTATTGCGATAAATTAAATCTCTCTTCTTAGTTAGTTAGTCATTCGGCTTAATTAATACATCGCTATACCGATATTTTCCTATATTTAGTTAAACACGCTAAGAATAGACAGACTGTTCTCGAGCTTTGACTCAACGCAAAGATGTCATATTCAATGACGGCGGGGCAAATTTATGATATTTTTTTAACCTTGCAACGATTATATATATAGCTGAGGAAACCTGCAAGGTTTAATTCTGTTCACTTCACTTCACAGGCTGCACGAAGGCTTTTACTAAAGACGGAACCAATAAAAGAAACTAAAAGGAAATGTGAGTAAAGTTTCTATTTATATTGGTTGATATTTTCATCCATCTTGGCTGCCACATGCATGGATAAGTCTACCTATGTTGTGTAATATTCCTTCAACGCAATTATGGACGTGAAAGTAAATAGATTACATTTTACTACGAAGGGATTTCACTAGAAATAATATATATGAGTAAATTTCAATGTGTTTTTTTCATCTCAGAAAAAGTATATGTAATAATGTTGTGATCCGTAAGTATAGCGAAAAGACGTTGGATTTGAAGCAGTGCATGCATTCCTTTTTGCCTCATCCCTGCATGACTTTGTTAACAGGACGCATTTGGCATGGACGTAATTATTTGAAATATAAATATATTATAGAAAAATTTACCCTAATTTTGTTTTAAAGTTATTAAGCAAGGTATCCCCGTACCTAAACAGTGCAAAATAAATTCTGAAAATGCTGCTAGTCTTATACCGCACAAAACGGGATCTCAATAATGCGGTTTGCGTCTCTAGCGCGGCAAGTAATTGACTTCGGTGGTGGTTATCTTTTAGATCGTCATGAAAGGTATATTTATAATCTGTTTGTTTCTCGTGATTTTTGAACTAACATGTGGAAAAGTGGCAGAACGTGAGAACCGTAATGAAGAAAGGCATCGTAAGTATTTGTCATAATTATAAAGTTTTCAGAAAATAGAAAATATATTTTTCTGTTAGAGCACAAATCAGTGTGCATCTGCTACAGCAGGCATAACTAATTTTAAAACATTAATTTCTTACAGGAACAACTGATTGCGAAATAAATGGTGGATTTTGTATTCCTTTCTATTACAATAGTCCAACCTGCAATGAGCATTCCATTTGTGCAGAGGCCTTCCCGCATATGTGTTTACCCGGAGGACAATGCTGCCACTGCAGAGGCTAAGATGTGGGATAGGTAAGCTAAGTTTGGTGTAACGACATGCGATAGAATGATAGGTATATAGAGGGAGATAAGAGATACACTTCTCAAACATATGCGGGCTATACGTAAAATAAGGGTATGTGATTCATCATATCAATATAACTCTTGACTGGCGTTCTTCTACAATATTTATGATACGATAAGAATGGAAGATTAAGAGCCTAAGGCATATTATGCACAAAATTATCGCATTCATCTCGAATCAGGAGTGCCATTTTTATATGAAACATTTTATTTTGATCGTTTAAATACACTACCGTCTAAATTCATGAAAACCAACATGAAAATGATTATCAATTAATAAAACCTTTTAGCTGTTACCTTCTTCCGTTGTTTTTTTTTTGAATTTTGATGAATTTTCTTCCCTACTTTTTTTTAGGTTCTAAGTTTGTTTTCAAGTTGAAAGTAGTTATAGAACAATCGACGAATGTCATATATATTATGTGTACTATTTATGGTGTTCTTAAATTGTAGAACTGGATTTCAACTTGAATAAAAAATAGGGCTGCAACCATTAGACTTTCAATTGCTTTATTTTTACGTTTATTACTTACTATTATTTTACCTGACATATCTCTCGGAGTATTGAAGTGATTGATTTTCGTTTGATTCTCATATGCGATTAAAGATTCTTTAGCTTTTTAACTGGTTTAATGAACATGCAAGGATGTGTCATCCTAATCACTTTCTGGCGCTTTTGATATACAATGGAAAACTTTCATAATGGACGAACTCATGTTCTAAGCGAAAAGAAGGAAATAAATCAAAACAGCTAAAAAGAGCAATTAGTATAATTGTAATATTTGACTGCAAAATGTGAAGTTGTGGGTCAAATATAACCGTGCGAAGGATGAGATTTTTGTGTATTTTTGTTTAACTGGCGGAAATGTGTAAGTAATTACTCGGGCGTGAGCGATGGGATTCAAAAATTGCCTTCAAAGCTATAAAATGATAGCACAGTTAAATCAATATTGAGCAAGAGTTCACAAATTTTGGCATATCGAATATGACAAACAAAATATGTCCCAAAATCGACCCCTGCGGGACACCAGAGTTTAATAATAGTGGAGCAGAAAGGGGATTTAACTAGTCAACCAATTGCTTTGATAATTAGTCCTTAAACCATTTCATTTCACCAACTGCGACACCATAACTATGCAGATTCTCAAAAGTAAATCATGGCTAACTGTATTGAACGCCTAAAACGAAGATCTATCAACACAGTTGCCGCCGTATACTTTGCATGATCCATATTATTATGGTCCCTCGAATTCTATATCTGTAAAACCTATACAAGTAGTTTCAGCTGAATATAACGTTTGCGAAAACTGCTCTAGTACGAGCTCAAGAAGTTATTTTTAACCATAAACCTATAGAGTTGAGTATGGACAGATTTAATAGATGAAACATGTGACTGTATCGAAATAAGTGGCAATAATAGCAAATTACATCCGTGGAATAGAAACATGAATGCGGTCAATTTGTAAGACTGAATAATATTCATATAACTGTTACAGCATAAGCTAGTACTGCTGAAAGCTATGCTACTTAAGAAATAGAAAACATTTTCCGTGTTTCTATACAGTTATAGAAACACGCGTGGGAGTTTGGGAGAACGAGAAATTATCAGTGGGAAAACGAGCCCGTAGGGCGAGTTTTTCCACGTTATTTCGAGTTCTCCCAAACTCTCACAAGTGTTTCTATAACTGTATAGAAACACAGGAAAAAATTTTTCTATTTCTTTTATAATATAAGAAAATCAAAACATTCCCGTGCAAAAACCAGTCGAGGCGTAACACAAAACTTCGGAAGTTGTATGAGACGTCTGATGTTATATTTCATGGTAATTAATAATTAAAATAATTTACCATAACACTAACTATAGATGAGTAACTTAACTTCCAAAAAAAGGTAAGAATCTTGTCGTATTTTTCATTTTTGCCATTTTTTCACAAAAATATGAGGGTTTGATTCTTTAAAAATATACGGCCGTTGCAAGTTGCTATGACAACAGTGCTTCCACGTGCAGAAAAATATTTCCACACTTTTCTCAATTTCTTTTTCTCACATACGTAAACTGAGGCGAGGGGTTTCTGCATGCATGTATTTCTAGTAATGTTTTAATTGCCGTATTAGTTTGGTGGCTAATCATGATTACGTTGTACTGTTTGAAATAAAAATGATCTATATAAATATATAAATCTTCTTTACCCGCCTGCAGCTTAGATCCAGTATAATTATGCATTAATTGTTTAAAGACTCAAACTCAAAAGCCATGCTCAGTGGTTTGGCGTTAACCTCAACGTGTTATAGGAGCACATTTACTTGTATTTTTAAACTTCTAAAATGCACGATGTATATATAGCTAAGGTCTTTATGAATCAGCTCTGACGTTGACATTTGCCGATGCCTGCCAGCAACAAGCGGAAATTGGAACAGTAAGTCACACCCAAAATGCCTGGAGTATATAGTTTCCTCTACAATTTCAATCGTAAAAATTAATATTTATTTCCGGGAAAATACTTGGGCATCTCGACTTGTCCTCATATTTTGTGCACGGTTAAAGATCAACTCCTCCAAGAGCAAGTTCCTTATTAAGTGCGAAAGTTCTTCTCCATGAGTCACATGATATATGTAAATGCCACGTCAATTTTTAAGTGTCTTAGCTACATGCACTCGACACATGCATTAGCAAAACATGTACTGGGTTAGTAACAACAGTGCATGACTTCTATTGATAGTAAAACATTGACTTAAGTAGGGTAAATCAGGTGAAAATGATAATTATATGGTTTTGGATAGCCTAAAGCAAGGACCAGTCATGCAGTAATAAAACTTTTCCACGCCAGACCACTGAACATCGCCATAATTCAAAGAATATTTTAACCTATTATAACCACATAAGAAATTGAAAAACTGCCGCAATTGCAAGTGTATCGATGTATAAGCAAACCAAAATAACTATAAAAAATGTTTATTGAATACTGATCAGATTGCAAACTTCCGGTTCACCTTATTCACTTTCCACGAATACTTTTTCAGAATTAACCTAAGTGAATAATTATTTACTTACTTATTGCTTGTTAGAGGTACAAGGTCAGCCATATCACTAAAAAATACCAGAATCCAAATAAAAGTCTACGACGTCGTAAAATCTCTGAAAGTGCGCCGTCAACAAGGTGACGACGCACTTGTTTTGCGGATATTTTGGCGCAGTCAGCAAAAATTGGAAAATTTATTTCTGGTCGGCCGCGTCGTCAGCGAGTGTGGGCGCATCCTAAGCTGGCTAATAGAGACCACTAGATTTGACTAAGGCTACTACTACCACTACGAAATTCGTCTTTTGCGCGCTAATCACGCCACGGTCTGCTGTCGCTAGTAGGGTTTGCGCGAAGACTTTGTAGCCGTCGTTGAAAACTTGGTACTCCCGACTACGTGGTGAAGGAATTTTAAAAGATAAGACGTTATATCTCTTATTATTATGCAGAATATTTTCTTATAAACCGGAAGTGGAAGAGCCCCCTGTCGGTAAAGTCAAAGAAATTGCTCAAATTCCTTTAACGATGCATCACAACACAGTCGTTTGCTCTTCCCTCAATCTTGTACTTGTGAGTTTGGCGCTAATTTCGTGTGAGCTTGTATTGATGGGAACTGCCGTATCTGAATCATCCGCATTGCTCGAGCCATTCGAACTGTTAGATGGGGCGTTTCCTGGAAAAGTCGGTGGCTGTGCAACATAAGGGAAATATCCACCGCCATAAAATGACTGCGAACGGTTTGGTGTATTCATCCAACTGGTGTGTGGGACGACTTGTGGAAAGGTCTCTTTGGGGTAATATGGGTAAGAAGCATTTTAATTCGGACGCGTTACGTTTGGTGTTTTTTTCCATTCTAATATTTCTTCTACTATACAAAAAATCGTGTGTTCACCTGCAAATTTGTGTCTGTGTTTTGAAAGGTCCTAGCTTTTTGACAAGGAGCGTTTCTATTGGTTGCGCTGTATAATCCTCTTGAGATACGCCTTCTAGCACTGTTCAGTTACCGTTGAAGCCTGCTGCCGTTCTTTTGTAATTTCAAGCAAGTTCATGCACAGTATGCATTTTTCGCGATCAGACTATTTCGCGTGCTTAGAGGCTGATGCGTTGACAGATTCAAGTGGTTTCATTTCCAGCAAGCACGATTTTAGATGGAGCAAGTGTGACCGTAACCTATCAATGTCAACAATTACCAACAAATCTACAGGGGTAGACGCAGTGCGTAGAATAAAACGAACTCGACGTAGGAATTTTGATAATTTATGAGCATTATATACAGTTGAGGTCAAAAGTATAAATACGGTCGATATCAGAAAAGGCAAAACTACAATTTGAATGATTATGAAGGCATTAAAACACAACAACTTGTACATGAAATATAAATAATGATAATATTAGAAGGTATTTGCTGGTATGATTCGCTAAATTTTTATGGCATCCTAATTTTGGTGATATATTTGGATTGCTCATTCCATCCGCTTTCAGAGTAAATAAAAGTTACCACCCTTTGGTTAAAAACTGAGCACAATATTCACATTATTACAATGTACTGCACATTTGGCGAAAAATGAAAAATAAATCTGGGGTCAAAGGGTTAACTCCAAACTTAATACAAGCAGGAAACTCGAAAGCGCGATAAATCAATTTCGTCGCGACGGGTAAAATGACGTAATGCGTATAATTATACTAGTCGTTGATTGGATAGAAGTGAACAGTGATCAAGCAATATATCTGCTATACGCAGATACAAAGACACAATAATTCTTGTTTTATACTTTGCTGAAACAGGGGAAGATCTACACTAAACAGATTGAAGGTAACTAGCAATATCACGTCTTCTTTACATTTATATTATAGTATATTATTTTACTGGTCATTAATAATATATTCGGTTTATTCGAACGGACCTAAATACTTTCTAGGTTTTACTTCGATATATTTAAATAAATATGATCACGCGGTCGATTTAATTCCCCTTTTCATGCTTATTCCTTACTATAATTCGCAAGAATTTTGAACAAAAACATCAAGTGCGGCCCAAATGACTTTCAGAACCAGGGCATTTTCATATCATTTCACCATATGGCTAAAAAGCTTTATATCGCACTTAGAACGCTGTGTAAGCACTAACGACTAACGTACAATTCAAACATCAGTATGGCAATTTAACGAGTTTAAACAGGTATAGCTACCCTACCAAAACTTGAGTGCGAAATAGAAATGGGAAGAAAAACTACAAAAGAGACCAACCTAAATAATATTTACAGCATGATGAAGCGAATAAGGAAACAGCTGGATAAACTTGATTCGATTGAAATCAAAGTCAAGTAGTTTGTCATGTGATTCTGAATGTAAATTTGAGAGCTGTGTTCGAGTACGCATTCATACATACACACACATATAGATCTAAAAGATCTAGCCGAAGATCTTACATTTCTGAGCCAATCAGTCGAGAAATTGCGAAAGAGAGGAAGCCATACGCGAGGCGAATGTGCGACGAAAACCTTTTTTTATAACTCGTCTGAAACCAAGGAAACGCAACAACTATAATCTCACGGAAGTAAATGCTTAAAATCGACAAATTTTACCAGCAATTAGGTAAACCAAAATGCAAGGAAACCTACTGTCTGACCAGTCATAGCAAGATTCAGTTACTAAGTCATAAACATACAGATCGATTGCTATCTGTTATACAGGCCTATACACGTATACAGAAGGGAGTTGGATAGTATGAAAAAGGAATATTGTGAAAGATAGGAAAGAATCTTTATCCGGTGAACAGAGCATAAGAAACGGGTAAACTGATTGATAATTTCGTTAAATTAAAAATTGAGGCTAAAATATTCCATATGTACATATAATAATAGAAGCATTAGTAAATGTATCAAATATCACAACATTCGAAATATATAGGTTCATAGTTAACATTACTAATTCTTTTGGCCATAAAACATGAATAACACACGAAAGAATGAGCTAGTTTTTCCCTATTATTACGATTACATGGCAAGCGAGTTGTCCCGCTTAGGCGGGATCCCGCTTTTCGCTTGCCGAGTAACTTGCTCAGGCGGGACACTTCTCGCCATCTAATTGCATTTTGCCAAGTTGATCCGGCAAAGCGTTATTCTGTCAGTTTACATGCATGTGTTCATGATGGCGGAAAGAAATATGAACAGTACTGCGAAGAAAAAATCGCAAAATTCTCAGGAAAAAAGAAAATTCATACAACAACGAAGTTTAAATGGAGTGAGGAAATGGTGCCAACTTCAATGCTGACAAAAATAAACAATACGAGGCAGTACGGGTAATTCTGGCTTCCAAGTATTTCGAAGATACAAACTTTTTGACCCAGAGTGTATCACACTAATCGAAGACGGCGAAGATCGTGATGAGTATTTAAAGCGGCAGGAAGATGATAAGTTAAATATGGAAAGTGTATTCTAGAGTATTATAAAAAATCAAAGCGTTAAGGCAGAAATTTAGCACTGCTGTGACATCTGGCAGACGCTCAGGATGTGGTAAGATGGTTATGGAGTTCTATGACATAATGGTCCTCATATGGGGTGGGGCTCCATCCTCTGAGCCTCTTTCTTTTTGTGCTCATTCAGCTGGTCAAGCAGACGAAAGTCAAGAACAAGGTGTTGATATATCTGGTAATTCTGGTTTAGGAAATGAAAAAAATGAGTATGATTCTGATGAATCCCTAACTATTTCTCTTGGTAATAATGTAGTTAGTATAAATAGTGCCAGTAATGAAGCGACAATCCGTAAACGCCCGGCTTCAAACCAAGTTCCAATACTCATAGACAATAAACGGCAACATAAGGAAAGACAGTTATCAGCAGCACAAAAAGACAAGTTACTCATGCAAGAAGGTCAAAAAGAGAAAAAATTTCGATGCGATTTATTACGTTCTCTAAAGGAATCTAATAATATATTTGCTGAGTCTGTGAAGGCCATGAGTGACTCCATGATGGCACTTGCCTCATCAATGCAAAGATCAATTGAACATGGTGCAGTGACACAGTAAATTAATCGTATGGCCCTTGCCCATATTCAAAGCAATATTCAGTCAATGCCCAATGTAATCCAACAGGGTAATTACATTTACAATCCTGCAACAGAACTTTATCCTATGGCATCAGGTAGAAATAACTGCGTGAATGCAAAGAATGCAGAATGCTATAAAAAAATCGCAAATTCTCGGATATTTTTCCGATTAATTGTTGTCTAAGTCTGACTAATTTTGTTTTTGGAAAAACTATGGAAATTTGCGAAAAACCTCTTAAAACTCAACTCAAAGCTTTCTTGTTAAAACCTGCTTGCACAGCAAAAATGCTGGAAATTTTATTTAAATACCGGTATAAAACTGCTGAATCTGCTATATATGTCGTATATTACACCAAGTATCCTCAACAACATTTCCTAAATCAAAATGGCGTCGGTATATTGCGAAACATGCAAATTCCGACTGATTTTTCGAAGATGAAATGCTCGAAAACTGCAGGTTTGTGAAGGTGAAGACAAGTGAATTTACACTTTCTATAATTTATCCTAATTTTCTATCTTGTTTTCAAGTAGTGCCCGAAGGGGGCAACAAAACTGAACGATAATCGGCCACAGAATACGGCTTATAATTATACACTTACTTATGCTTCATTTTTTTAATGTTTAATAGTGATGATTGCATTCACAGCTGCTCGACTGTTCTTTGGCCTAGTATTCACATTAGGTAAGTTGTTTTGCTCGCTCGATATCTTCTTGTACTTTGTTTCTTCGTGAAATCATAATAATAATAATTTTATATGGCTGCGATGCTGCGTTCAGTTTTTGGTGTTAACAACTTGGAAAGCGGAATTTCTTCATCGTGCCTTACCGCCGAAAATTGCGAAATGTTGGCACCTTTTCTCATCCGTTACGTACGTCCAAACACTTTTTTCTATCCGTTGACCGCAACCGAACAGCAACCGTACATGACCGCAAGAGAAAAAATTCGATCGCGGTCGCCGTTGGCTTCCGAACGGAATGTGTTGAACTGCTGAGAATGACAACACAATAATCAAATCGAACTGTCAGGCCGAGATTTTACGGTTTGATCTAGGTTAATTGGGGTTTTTGTTAGGTTATTTCCGGACAATATTGTAGTTTTAAATTCATCAATGCATGGTCGGTAATTCAAAATTTGGTCCATATAATTATTGCATGGCGTTACGACCCCTACTTTTTGTATCTTTCAGCGGAATCGTCGGGACCGTAGGGGGAATAGCCCAGTAACATATACTAGATGAGAACAACAACAAGAACTTTTTTTATATATATGTATTAAAACCTGTGCCTCCCGCTCGTGCTGTTGCCTCTATACAGTAGTTTTTTAATTGAACTTAAATTCGAGTGGAATATACACACTTCAAATTCAAGCCAGGAACAGTTGACGGAAAAAAGAGTCAATTATTGGTCCTCCGGCAGGAATCGAACCTACGCTTTTGTGATATCGGTGCAATGCTCTTGCCACAAACCACTATATAGAATATACCTGCATCGAGTGAAGTGCCAAAAATCATTACTGATTAACCCTGTTCTATACAGTACTTCATTGTATTAACAACATTTACTTCTTCGTATTAACTACATTTACTTCTTTGTATTAACTATAATATAAATCTGGATTTGTCTTTCTTCCTTTAAAGGCACAACTACGTCTTCAACAGCTTCAGGTAACACGTAATATCTTTTATGAAAAATTATCTCATAAAATGAAATCAAACTTGAAATAGCGGTTTCATTGCAAACAATATTTCTCCCTTTTATTGCAGGTCCATGTGGTAAAAGTCACCTGTATGCTCCTGCTACACTTAAAAGTCCTCTTTATCCCAGTTTGTACCCTAACTCTATAGACTGTAACTGGACTATTTCTGGCACCAATGGGTCAAGGGTTTCGTTAACGTTTAGATCATTTTCGGTAGGTCATAATCAGGTATACTTAAATTCGAAAGAGGATAGTCTTTTCAATATTAGAGAAATTAGGACGCATGGCCATCACCTTGATTAAGAATAATAATTTCAGATTGATCCGCTCCAGTGCGTATTTTTCCTGCAGTGAAGCTCGATATACTAGTTGGTTTACTATTTTAAAATTATCCGCTTTCCCGTCAAAAATCTGACTTTGTCCAGCAAACATTATTCCTTTAGGGATGAAAATGTTATTAATTCCTCCTACCTCGATATTTAAATTACGATGTTATCTTGTATCAATTTTTTCAAAGCTTGACCCCGCCAGTGGGAAAAAACTAAGCTTTTATGTAGCTGCTTCGATACGGCCAGCAAAGCATTTTTTTGTTTCACTTTTAGCTGGAAAGTGATTCCCGCTGTAGGTATGATTATTTGGACGTTTATGATGGTGACTCCTCGTATGCATCAAAACTTGGCCGATATTGTGGAAACCAATTGCCACGAAGTCTGACATCATCTGGAATCCACCTGTTTATTGCGTTCCACTCGGATGGTAGTCAATAAGCAAAAGGATTTGTTTTAGATTTCTCAAATAAATTTGGTAAGTTTGACTACAAATTTAACTCTCTGATAACATGACAAACACTGAAAATCCATAAATGGAAACAGACTGATTATTCAGTAATATTTTTTATAGTATATGTAAATGCATCGATCATATTATTGACTAATTACACAAATCCATGCTGTTTCAACAGTAAATATTTTTAAAGTTTCTCTGGTCTTTCTGGCTTGTGAGTATACAAGTCACTAACATTATCTATAACGATACAAATAAACTTAAGCTCTGTTTAAACTATACACTCGATTTTTTCATACGGCACACCTGAAATGGGTTACAGTGCCCAACTTTATTTTATCTCATTATTATATAACACAAAACGTTCTTTCCCATAATGTTAAAGTTTTAACGTTTTATCATAATGGTTTCTGCAGGAATTCCGATTAATAATATATTGCTGTAATGCATTTCGCGCATGCGCGAAATTTAATGAATGCAAACCGGTAATCAGAAATCTTCTTATTAGCTGAATCAGAAATTTGCATTTCAATAATAACGTAACAAATTTAGCTGCAAATTCACCAATTATTTCGTAAAACTGTTTTTAAAAATTACACCAAATAAAATAGGGAAAATAATAACAGATCCAATGAAGATCATCACGTGACATTTATCTAAAACAAAAAGGGTTGCCCTTCAAAATTGAAAAATGAAAAAGGAACGGTTATACCCTACATAAAGCTTTGAAATGTTTTAATTCGGTACGTGACTTTATAGTAGTATAGTTGTTAATACTGATATTCTGTGTTTGCTGTATGTAGAAGGATGCAGTTTATTTATATATATGAGCGGTATACGTCGTTTTCTAAAGTCATATTAGGCTATGAAAAGCTTTTCACGCCTCGTAACTTCAAATAGGGGTTTTGAAAACGTAAATTTGTAAGTAAACTGTAGCTTCAAAATTACCTGAGGCTGAAGCTTTTACAGTCAACGGCATAAATTTTATATTCGAAGAATATTTGAGGTTCTGTACTTGATGATTTTGTACTGTTTTGATGTTTTTCTGAAGCCTCTAATGTTAAAATTTTAACAGGTAACTAAGCTGGTAGGGTCGATAAAACGCTTTTAGAAAACGCTCATTTCACAATATCAACATGCATGAGTCATGAGTAGATCATCAGTTATTAACTTATAGTTATAGCTATCTAAGCCCAGCTAAGAGATTATTTTCTTGGTTGAAAATAGCGAGGGGTTCTGCATGCATGTATTTCTAGTAATTTGAATAATTTACGAAAGCTGGTATACACTGAATTACTGTCGCTATATAAAATAACAAACTCAAAATTAAATCAAACTTAAAATAGCGGTTTCATTGCAAACAATATTTCTCCCTTTTATTGCAGGTCCATGTGGTATAAGCCACCTGTATGCTCCTGCTACACTTAAAAGTCCTCTTTATCCCAGTTTGTACCCTAACTCTATAGACTGTAACTGGACTATTTCTGGCACCAATGGGTCAAGGGTTTCGTTAACGTTTAGATCATTTTCGGTAGGTCATAATCAGGTATACTTTAATTCGAAAGAGGATAGCCTTTTCAATATTGGAGAAATTAGGACGCATGGCCATCACCTTGATTAAGAATAATAATTTCAGATTGATCCGCTCCAGTGCGTATTTTTCCTGCAGTGAAGTTGGTTTACTATTTTGAAATTATCCGCTTTCTCGTCAAAAATCTTACTTTGTCCTGCAAACATTATTCCTTTAGGGATGAAAATGTTATTAATTCCTCCTACCTCGATATTTAAATTACGATGTTATCTTGTATCAATTTTTTCAAAGCTTGACCCCGCCAGTGGGAAAAAACTAAGCTTTTTTGTAGCTACTTCGATACGGCAAGCAAAGCATTTTTTTGTTTCACTTTTAGCTGGAAAGTGATTCCCGCTGTAGGTATGATTATTTGGACGTTTATGATGGTGACTCCTCGTATGCATCAAAACTTGGCCGATATTGTGGAAACCAATTGCCTCAAAGTCTGACATCATCTGGAGTCCACCTGCTTATTGCGTTCCACTCGGATGGTAGTCAACAAGGAAAAGGATTTGTTTTGGATTTCTCAAATAAATTTGGTAAGTTTGACTACAAATTTAACTCTATGATAACATGACAAACACTGAAAATCCATAAATGGAAACAGACTAATTATTCAGTAATATTTTTCATAGTATATGTACATGCATCGATCCATATTATTGACTAATTAGACAAATCTATGCTGTTTCAACAGTAAGGATTTTTAAAGTTTCTCTGGTCTTTCTGGCTTGTGAGTATACGAGTCACTAACATTATCTATAACGATACAAGTAAACCTAAGCTCTGTTTACACTATAGACTCGATTTTTCGCACGGCACACCTGAAATGGGTTACGGTGCCCAACTTTATTTTATCTCATTATTATATAACACAAAACGTTCTTTTGCATAATGTTAAAGTTTTAACGTTATATCTTAAAGGTTTGTGCAGGAATTCCCATTAATAATATATTGCTGTGATGCATTTCGCGCATGCGCGAAATTTAATGAATGCAAACCGGTAATCAGAAATCTTCTTATTAGCTGAATCAGAAATTTGCATTTCAATAATAACGTAAGAAATTTAGCTGCAAATTCCCAAATTATTTCATAAAACTGTTTTTAAAAATTACACCAAATAAAAGAGGGAAAATAATAACAGATCCAATGAAAATCATCACGTGACATTTATATAAAACAAAAAGGGTTGCCCTTCAAGATTGAAAAATGAAAAAGGAACGGTTTATACCCTACATAAAGCTTTGAAATGTTTTAATTCGGTACGTGACTTTATAGTAGCATAGTTGTTTATACTGATATTCTGTGTTTGCTGTATGTAGAAGGATGCAGTTTATTTATATATATGAGCGGTATACGTCGTTTTCTAAAGTCATATTAGGCTATGAAAGGTTTTTCACACCTCGTAACTTCAAAATTAATAGGGTTTTTTAAAACGTAAATTTATATGTAAACTGTAGCTTCAAAATTACCTGAGGCTGAAGCTTTTACAGTTAACTGCATAAATTATATATTCGAAGAATATTTGAGGTTCTGTACTTGATGATTTTGTTCTGTTTTGATGTTATTCTGAAGCATCTAATGTTAAAATTTTAACACTAAACTAAGCTGGTAGGGTCGATAAAACGCCTTTAGAAAACGCTCATTTCATAATATCAACATGCATGAGTCATGAGTAGATCATCAGTTATTAACTTATAGTTATAGCTTATCTAAGCCCAGCTAAGAGATTATTTTCTTTATTGAAAATAGCCAGGGGTGCTGCATGCTTGTATTTCTAGTAATTTGAATATATTTCGAAAGCTGGTATACACTGAATTACTGTCGCTATATAAAATAACAAACTCAAAATCAAACTTGAAATAGCGGTTTCATTGCAAACAATATTTCTCCCTTTTATTGCAGGTCCATGTGGTATAAGCCACCTGTATGCTCCTGCTACACTTAAAAGTCCTCTTTATCCCAGTTTGTACCCTAACTCTATAGACTGTAACTGGACTATTTCTGGCACCAATGGGTCAAGGGTTTCGTTAACGTTTAGATCATTTTCGGTAGGTCATAATCAGGTATACTTTAATTCGAAAGAGGATAGCCTTTTCAATATTGGAGAAATTAGGACGCATGGCCATCACCTTGATTAAGAATAATAATTTCAGATTGATCCGCTCCAGTGCGTATTTTTCCTGCAGTGAAGTTGGTTTACTATTTTAAAATTATCCGCTTTCTCGTCAAAAATCTTACTTTGTCCTGCAAACATTATTCCTTTAGGGATGAAAATGTTATTAATTCCTCCTACCTCGATATTTAAATTACGATGTTATCTTGTATCAATTTTTTCAAAGCTTGACCCCGCCAGTGGGAAAAAATAAGCTTTTTTGTAGCTACTTCGATACGGCAAGCAAAGCATTTTTTTGTTTCACTTTTAGCTGGAAAGTGATTCCCGCTGTAGGTATGATTATTTGGACGTTTATGATGGTGACTCCTCGTATGCATCAAAACTTGGCCGATATTGTGGAAACCAATTGCCTCAAAGTCTGACATCATCTGGAGTCCACCTGTTTATTGCGTTCCACTCGGATGGTAGTCAACAAGGAAAAGGATTTGTTTTGGATTTCTCAAATAAATTTGGTAAGTTTGACTACAAATTTAACTCTATGATAACATGACAAACACTGAAAATCCATAAATGGAAACAGACTAATTATTCAGTAATATTTTTATAGTATATGTACATGCATCGATCCATATTATTGACTAATTAGACAAATCTATGCTGTTTCAACAGTAAGGATTTTTAAAGTTTCTCTGGTCTTTCTGGCTTGTGAGTATACGAGTCACTAACATTATCTATAACGATACAAGTAAACCTAAGCTCTGTTTACACTATAGACTCGATTTTTTCGCACGGCACACCTGAAATGGGTTACGGTGCCCAACTTTATTTTATCTCATTATTATATAACACAAAACGTTCTTTTGCATAATGTTAAAGTTTTAACGTTATATCTTAAAGGTTTGTGCAGGAATTCCCATTAATAATATATTGCTGTGATGCATTTCGCGCATGCGCGAAATTTAATGAATGCAAACCGGTAATCAGAAATCTTCTTATTAGCTGAATCAGAAATTTGCATTTCAATAATAACGTAAGAAATTTAGCTGCAAATTCCAAATTATTTCATAAAACTGTTTTTAAAAATTACACCAAATAAAAGAGGGAAAATAATAACAGATCCAATGAAAATCATCACGTGACATTTATATAAAACAAAAAGGGTTGCCCTTCAAGATTGAAAAATGAAAAAGGAACGGTTTATACCCTACATAAAGCTTTGAAATGTTTTAATTCGGTACGTGACTTTATAGTAGTATAGTTGTTAATACTGATATTCTGTGTTTGCTGTATGTAGAAGGATGCGTTTATTATAATATGAGCGGTATACGTCGTTTCTAAAGTCATATTAGGCTATGAAAGGTTTTTCACGCCTCGTAACTTCAAATAGGGTTTTTTAAAACGTAAATTTATATGTAAACTGTAGCTTCAAAATTACCTGAGGCTGAAGCTTTTACAGTTAACTGCATAAATTATATATTCGAAGAATATTTGAGGTTCTGTACTTGATGATTTTGTACTGTTTTGATGTTTTTCTGAAGCCTCTAATGTTAAAATTTTAACACTAACTAAGCTGGTAGGGTCGATAAAACGCTTTAGAAAACGCTCATTTCACAATATCAACATGCATGAGTCATGAGTATCATCAGTTATTAACTTATAGTTATAGCTATCTAAGCCCAGCTAAGAGATTATTTTCTTGGTTGAAAATAGCGAGGGGTTCTGCATGCATGTATTTCTAGTAATTTGATCATTTACGAAAGCTGGTATACACTGAATTACTGTCGCTATATAAAATAACAAACTCAAAATTAAATCAAACTTAAAATAGCGGTTTCATTGCAAACAATATTTCTCCCTTTTATTGCAGGTCCATGTGGTATAAGCCACCTGTATGCTCCTGCTACACTTAAAAGTCCTCTTTATCCCAGTTTGTACCCTAACTCTATAGACTGTAACTGGACTATTTCTGGCACCAATGGGTCAATGGTTTCGTTAACGTTTAGATCATTTTCGGTAGGTCATAATCAGGTATACTTTAATTCGAAAGAGGATAGCCTTTTCAATATTGGAAAAATTAGGACGCATGGCCATCATCTTTATTAAGAATAATAATTTCAGATTGATCCGCTCCAGTGCGTATTTTTCCTGCAGTGAAGTTGGTTTACTATTTTAAAATTATCCGCTTTCTCGTCAAAAATCTTACCTTGTCCTGCAAACATTATTCCTTTAGGGATGAAAATGTTATTAATTCCTCCTACCTCGATATTTAAATTACGATGTTATCTTGTATCAATTTTTTCAAAGCTTGACCCCGCCAGTGGGAAAAACTAAGCTTTTATGTAGCTACTTCGATACGGCAAGCAAAGCATTTTTTTGTTTCACTTTTAGCTGGAAAGTGATTCCCGCTGTAGGTATGATTATTTGGACGTTTATGATGGTGACTCCTCGTATGCATCAAAACTTGGCCGATATTGTGGAAACCAATTGCCTCGAAGTCTGACATCATCTGGAGTCCACCTGTTTATTGCGTTCCACTCGGATGGTAGTCAACAAGGAAAAGGATTTGTTTTGGATTTCTCAAATAAATTTGGTAAGTTTGACTACAAATTTCACTCTATGATAACATGACAAACACTGAAAATCCATAAATGGAAACAGACTGATTATTCAGTAATATTTTTTATAGTATATGTACATGCAGCGATCCATATTATTGACTAATTAGACAAATGCATGCTGTTTCAACAGTAAGGATTTTTAAAGTTTCTCTGGTCTTTCTGGCTTCTGAGTATACGAGTCACTAACATTATCTATAACGATACAAGTAAACCTAAGCTCTGTTTACACTATAGACTCGATTTTTTCGCACGGCACACCTGAAATGGGTTACGGTGCCCAACTTTATTTTATCTCATTATTATATAACACAAAACGTTCTTTTGCATAATGTTAAAGTTTTAACGTTATATCTTAATGGTTTGTGCAGGAATTCCCATTAATAATATATTGCTGTGATGCATTTCGCGCATGCGCGAAATTTAATGAATGCAAACCGGTAATCAGAAATCTTCTTATTAGCTGAATCAGAAATTTGCATTTCAATAATAACGTAAGAAATTTAGCTGCAAATTCACAAATTATTTCATAAAACTGTTTTTAAAAATTACACCAAATAAAATAGGGAAAATAATAACAGATCCAATGAAAATCATCACGTGACATTTATCTAAAACAAAAAGGGTTGCCCTTCAAAATTAAAAAATGAAAAAGGAACGATTTATACCCTACATAAAGCTTTGAAATGTTTTAATTCGGTACGTGACTTTATAGTAGTATAGTTGTTTATACTGATATTCTGTGTTTGTTGTATGTAGAAGGATGCAGTTTATTTATATATATATATGAGCGGTATACGTCGTTTTCTAAAGTCATATTAGGCTATGAAAGGTTTTTCACGCCTCGTAACTTCAAATAGGGTTTTTTAAAACGTAAATTTATATGTAAACTGTAGCTTCAAAATTACCTGAGGCTGAAGCTTTTACAGTTAACTGCATAAATTATATATTCGAAGAATATTTGAGGTTCTGTACTTGATGATTTTGTACTGTTTTGATGTTTTTCTGAAGCCTCTAATGTTAAAATTTTAACAGGTAACTAAGCTGGTAGGGTCGATAAAACGCTTTTAGAAAACGCTCATTTCACAATATCAACATGCATGAGTCATGAGTAGATCATCAGTTATTAACTTATAGTTATAGCTATCTAAGCCCAGCTAAGAGATTATTTTCTTGGTTGAAAATAGCGAGGGGTTCTGCATGCATGTATTTCTAGTAATTTGTATCATTTACGAAAGCTGGTATACACTGAATTACTGTCGCTATATAAAATAACAAACTCAAAATTAAATCAAACTTAAAATAGCGGTTTCATTGCAAACAATATTTCTCCCTTTTATTGCAGGTCCATGTGGTATAAGCCACCTGTATGCTCCTGCTACACTTAAAAGTCCTCTTTATCCCAGTTTGTACCCTAACTCTATAGACTGTAACTGGACTATTTCTGGCACCAATGGGTCAAGGGTTTCGTTAACATTTAGATCATTTTCGGTAGGTCATAATCAGGTATACCTTAATTCGAAAGAGGATAGCCTTTTCAATATTGGAAAAATTAGGACGCATGGCTATCATCTTTATTAAGAATAATAATTTCAGATTGATCCGCTCCAGTGCGTATTTTTCCTGCAGTGAAGTTGGTTTACTATTTTACAATTATCCGCTTTCTCGTCAAAAATCTGACTTTGTCCTGCAAACATTATTCCTTTAGGGTTGAAAATGTTATTAATTCCTCCTACCTCGATATTTAAATTACGATGTTATCTTGTATCAATTTTTTCAAAGCTTGACCCCGCCAGTGGGAAAAAACTAAGCTTTTTTGTAGCTACTTCGATACGGCAAGCAAAGCATTTTTTTGTTTCACTTTTAGCTGGGAAGTGATTCCCGCTGTAGGTATGATTATTTGGACGTTTATGATGGTGACTCCTCGTATGCATCAAAACTTGGCCGATATTGTGGAAACCAATTGCCTCAAAGTCTGACATCATCTGGAGTCCACCTGTTTATTGCGTTCCACTCGGATGGTAGTCAACAAGGAAAAGGATTTGTTTTGGATTTCTCAAATAAATTTGGTAAGTTTGACTACAAATTTAACTCTATGATAACATGACAAACACTGAAAATCCATAAATGGAAACAGACTAATTATTCAGTAATATTTTTTATAGTATATGTACATGCAGCGATCCATATTATTGACTAATTAGACAAATCCATGCTGTTTCAACAGTAAGGATTTTTAAAGTTTCTCTGGTTTTTCTGGCTTGTGAGTATACGAGTCATTAACATTATCTATAACGATACAAGTAAACCTAAGCTCTGTTTACACTATAGACTCGATTTTTTCGCACGGCACACCTGAAATGGGTTACGGTGCCCAACTTTATTTTATCTCATTATTATATAACACAAAACGTTCTTTTGCATAATGTTAAAGTTTTAACGTTATATCTTAAAGGTTTGTGCAGGAATTACCATTAATAATATATTGCTGTGATGCATTTCGCGCATGCGCGAAATTTAATGAATGCAAACCGGTAATCAGAAATCTTCTTATTAGCTGAATCAGAAATTTGCATTTCAATAATAACGTAAGAAATTTAGCTGCAAATTCCCAAATTATTTCATAAAACTGTTTTTAAAAATTACACCAAATAAAAGAGGGAAAATAATAACAGATCCAATGAAAATCATCACGTGACATTTATATAAAACAAAAAGGGTTGCCCTTCAAGATTGAAAAATGAAAAAGGAACGGTTTATACCCTACATAAAGCTTTGAAATGTTTTAATTCGGTACGTGACTTTATAGTAGTATAGTTGTTAATACTGATATTCTGTGTTTGCTGTATGTAGAAGGATGCAGTTTATTTATATATATGAGCGGTATACGTCGTTTTCTAAAGTCATATTAGGCTATGAAAGGTTTTTCACGCCTCGTAACTTCAAATAGGGTTTTTTAAAACGTAAATTTATATGTAAACTGTAGCTTCAAAATTACCTGAGGCTGAAGTTTTTACAGTTAACTGCATAAATTATATATTCGAAGAATATTTGAGGTTCTGTACTTGATGATTTTGTACTGTTTTGATGTTTTTCTGAAGCCTCTAATGTTAAAATTTTAACAGGTAACTAAGCTGGTAGGGTCGATAAAACGCTTTTAGAAAACGCTCATTTCACAATATCAACATGCATGAGTCATGAGTAGATCATCAGTTATTAACTTATAGTTATAGCTATCTAAGCCCAGCTAAGAGATTATTTCTTGGTTGAAAATAGCGAGGGGTTCTGCAATGCATGTATTTCTAGTAATTTGTATAATTTACGAAAGCTGGTATACACTGAATTACTGTCGCTATATAAAATAACAAACTCAAAATTAAATCAAACTTAAAATAGCGGTTTCATTGCAAACAATATTTCTCCCTTTTATTGCAGGTCCATGTGGTATAAGCCACCTGTATGCTCCTGCTACACTTAAAAGTCCTCTTTATCCCAGTTTGTACCCTAACTCTATAGACTGTAACTGGACTATTTCTGGCACCAATGGGTCAAGGGTTTCGTTAACGTTTAGATCATTTTCGGTAGGTCATAATCAGGTATACTTTAATTCGAAAGAGGATAGCCTTTTCAATATTGGAGAAATTAGGACGCATGGCCATCACCTTGATTAAGAATAATAATTTCAGATTGATCCGCTCCAGTGCGTATTTTTCCTGCAGTGAAGTTGGTTTACTATTTTACAATTATCCGCTTTCTCGTCAAAAATCTGACTTTGTCCTGCAAACATTATTCCTTTAGGGATGAAAATGTTATTAATTCTTCCTACCTCGATATTTAAATTACGATGTTATCTTGCATCAATTTTTTCAAAGCTTGACCCCGCCAGTGGGAAAAAACTAAGCTTTTTTGTAGCTACTTCGATACGGCAAGCAAAGCATTTTTTTGTTTCACTTTTAGCTGGAAAGTGATTCCCGCTGTAGGTATGATTATTTGGACGTTTATGATGGTGACTCCTCGTATGCATCAAAACTTGGCCGATATTGTGGAAACCAATTACCTCAAAGTCTGACATCATCTGGAGTCCACCTGTTTATTGCGTTCCACTCGGATGGTAGTCAACAAAGAAAAGGATTTGTTTTGGATTTCTCAAATAAATTTGGTAAGTTTGACTACAAATTTAACTCTATGATAACATGACAAACACTGAAAATCCATAAATGGAAACAGACTAATTATTCAGTAATATTTTTCATAGTATATGTACATGCATCGATCCATATTATGGACTAATTAGACAAATCTATGCTGTTTCAACAGTAAGGATTTTTAAAGTTTCTCTGGTCTTGCTGGCTTGTGAGTATACGAGTCACTAACATTATCTATAACGATACAAGTAAACCTAAGCTCTGTTTACACAATAGACTCGATTTTTTCGCACGGCACACCTAAAATGGGTTACGGTGCCCAACTTTATTTTATCTCATTATTATATAACACAAAACGTTCTTTTGTATAATGTTAAAGTTTTAACGTTATATCTTAAAGGTTTGTGCAGGAATTCCCATTAATAATATATTGCTGTGATGCATTTCGCGCATGCGCGAAATTTAATGAATGCAAACCGGTAATCAGAAATCTTCTTATTAGCTGAATCAGAAATTTGCATTTCAATAATCACGTAAGAAATTTAGCTGCAAATTCCCAAATTATTTCATAAAACTGTTTTTAAAAATTACACCAAATAAAATAGGGAAAATAATAACAGATCGAATGAAAATCATCACGTGACATTTATTTTAAACAAAAAGGGTTGCCCTTCAAGATTGAAAAATGAAAAAGGAACGGTTTATACCCTACATAAAGCTTTGAAATGTTTTAATTCGGTACGTGACTTTATAGTAGCATAGTTGTTTATACTGATATTCTGTGTTTGCTGTATGTAGAAGGATGCAGTTTATTTATATATATGAGCGGTATACGTCGTTTTCTAAAGTCATATTAGGCTATGAAAGGTTTTTCACACCTCGTAACTTCAAATAGGGTTTTTTAAAACGTAAATTTATATGTAAACTGTAGCTTCAAAATTACCTGAGGCTGAAGCTTTTACAGTTAACTGCATAAATTATATATTCGAAGAATATTTGAGGTTCTGTACTTGATGATTTTGTACTGTTTTGATGTTTTTCTGAAGCCTCTAATGTTAAAATTTTAACAGTTAACTAAGCTGGTAGGGTCGATAAAACGCCTTTAGAAAACGCTCATTTCACAATATCAACATGCATGAGTCATGAGTAGATCATCAGTTATTAACTTATAGTTATAGCTATCTAAGCCCAGCTAAGAGATTATTTTCTTGGTTGAAAATAGCGAGGGGTTCTGCATGCATGTATTTCTAGTAATTTGTATAATTTACGAAAGCTGGTATACACTGAATTACTGTCGCTATATAAAATAACAAACTCAAAATTAAATCAAACTTAAAATAGCGGTTTCATTGCAAACAATATTTCTCCCTTTTATTGCAGGTCCATGTGGTATAAGCCACCTGTATGCTCCTGCTACACTTAAAAGTCCTCTTTATCCCAGTTTGTACCCTAACTCTATAGACTGTAACTGGACTATTTCTGGCACCAATGGGTCAAGGGTTTCGTTAACGTTTAGATCATTTTCGGTAGGTCATAATCAGGTATACTTTAATTCGAAAGAGGATAGCCTTTTCAATATTGGAGAAATTAGGACGCATGGCCATCACCTTGATTAAGAATAATAATTTCAGATTGATCCGCTCCAGTGCGTATTTTTCCTGCAGTGAAGTTGGTTTACTATTTTAAAATTATCCGCTTTCTCGTTAAAAATCTTACTTTGTCCTGCAAACATTATTCCTTTAGGGATGAAAATGTTATTAATTCCTCCTACCTCAATATTTAAATTACGATGTTATCTTGTATCAATTTTTTCAAAGCTTGACCCCGCCAGTGGGAAAAAACTAAGCTTTTTTGTAGCTACTTCGATACGGCAAGCAAAGCATTTTTTTGTTTCACTTTTAGCTGGAAAGTGATTCCCGCTGTAGGTATGATTATTTGGACGTTTATGATGGTGACTCCTCGTATGCATCAAAACTTGGCCGATATTGTGGAAACCAATTGCCTCAAAGTCTGACATCATCTGGAGTCCACCTGTTTATTGCGTTCCACTCGGATGGTAGTCAACGAAGAAAAGGATTTGTTTTTTGGATTTCTAAAGTGAATTGATAATATGACAAACACTGATAATATGATAATACGACGAACACTGATAATCCATAAATGGAAACAGTCTGATTATGCAGTAATATTTTATTAATATTATCATTATTATAACTACCTTGTGGCGCAAAAAAAGGTTTGATTGAGTATAATTTCAAAAATAAAGGAACTGTTGCATTAAAAGTATGTTTTTTATATTCTCTAATGTGTAACTTAAATTTTTATATATAGCATGAGGTTTTTTACGCAATTTTAACTGAGATATCGCAGTTTCAATTAAGTATACATTTTCCAAAAGTGAAAAAATTAGCTAGAAATGGCATATTAAAGTGAGTTAACAAATCCTAGTATTTTATGGTACGTATTCTGTCTGTTTCATTGAAGTTTAACTAGAAGTATTTGACAGATGGATTAAGTTTTTCTATTTTCTGTGTAATTTTCTGTGTAATATTTTGGAAAGCGTTAAAAATTAGCTATTTTGGTTTGGGCTTTGTTCCTAATGTTTCATGTCCCATAGGGGATTATGTTTCATGTCGCATAGGGGATATTATCATTTCTCTGTTTCAACACTTTCGTTCAACACATAAAGTCAGACAAATATCGTCAATGCAGTTTTTCCTATTAACTTTTAAGCCCAGTTCATTGGTTCCAATTCGCAGACGACGCCGCCGTAATTACAACTCAAGAGGCTGAAATTCAACACTTCCTAAACCGTTTCGCAATTTGGTGTCAATGGTCTGACATGATTGTCCGGGTCGACAAATGCAGAACATTTGGAATAAAAAATCCTCACTAAATCTGTCCAATATCTACTAAAGTTAATTATCAATAACAGTCTTATACCAACTATTGAACTCGGAAAATCTTTTTGCTATTTAGGAAGATACTTCGACTTCGAAACGTCTAATAGTGAACATAAATTGGAACTCATATCTATTCTAACAAATCTAATGTCGGATATTGACCTGAAGCCATTGCACTATAAAAACAAAGTTATCTTTAGACCCGGTATGTTTTATCCAAACTTTCTTGGCATTTAACGATCGCTAAGCTCTAAAACAGAAGACCTTGACTCTATCGTCAATGACCACATCCGTAAATGGCTCGAAGTGCCTATCTCAGGAACATTGAGCAACGTGTATCTTACCCGTAATAGGTTTGGCCTTAACATTATCACACCTTTAACGAAATTTGTCCAATGTCAGTCAACAATTCGTAATGCCTTAGAGTTGTCTTCCAATGAGTCTATATCACATAAGTGGAAATCTACTAATAACCATACTAATCTGCAATAAGATCAATACAACTCTACAAAGAAAGTCCTTAAATCGTTTCATAAAGTGCAAGAAGATAAACTTAAGAATCAATTATTCTGTCAAGGATCATTCTTTTCCAGTATTTCAAAGTTCACGTTATCTAAAGTAAATACTATCTAGTCAACTTGCCAATCAAAACTGCCCAAAAACATTTTTAATTTCACCATCCGCTACATAAATAACTCTTTACCGACCCGCAAGAACCTCGCGAAATGGGGAATATCGTCATCTTCTGATTGTTCTTTTTGCCTCCATCCGGAGACCTTGCTTCATGTAGTCGCTAGCTGCAACTCATACCTGGATCGATTCACGTGGAGACAGGACTCGATTCTAAATCTCGTTGCTAATAATCTGCCCTCTGATCATTTTCCAGATTTGTTTGCCGATATATCCGCATTTTCTAACCCCTCAATAATAACTGGTGACAAGTATCGTCCTGATTTGCTCATTATAACAGAGGCCAACCACCTATATATACTAGAACTAACCATCGGATATGAAACTAGCCTCAGAAATAACATAAATCGCAAACACGCAAAATATAAAGAACTATTCACAACGCTGATAATGATATGCAAAACGGAAATAAAGCAGAAAATCCATCAAATACAAATATGGGCATGGCCATAGGGGCGGGGCATGAACAAGAGAGAATAAGAATGACGAATACGCTGAAAGCTTCATTATTGCTCAGTTGCATGGTCTGGCGTATACGCCTAGGGCAGTTAACCAGACCCCACCAAGATGGGTGCTGGAAATGCTAAAAGGCTATAAAAAGTTAGGTGCGCGAATCGATACATGATTGCCCATTACGTTACCTATTCTTCGGCATATTCTCCATCAGGTTCCCATGCCATGTTCTGGCGAGTTCGAGCGGCGCCTCTTTACTGCCATGTGCTCTACTGCATTTTTTGCGTTTTTGCGCATCGGAAAATTATCACCTGCACTCTCTCCCCGTCTGTTCTTCGATCGGACCAGGTTCTTAAGATTGTAATAACATCCGGTTTTATCGTGGGTTTTAAGCTTACTTTTCACGATTTCAAACATTCTCATAACCAACATCCTGTTGCATTGTCACTGTTATGTCGTTCCGATATATGCCCGGTTCAATACTTACTGGAATATTAATCCGTACGAGGCGTATCGGATGGCCCGCTGTTCAGGATGCCTTCTGGTTCTGCGGTGCCACGCGTACACTTCACTAATTTTTTATCGTTGCTTTTTCATAGCAGTGGTCTCTATGGCGCGAAATATAAGGGCCACAGTTTCCGTATTGGCGCGGTGACTTACGCGGCAGAATGCGGGTTTTCCGACCCGCAAATCTACGCGATGGGGCGCTGGCGATCCGATGTCTTTCTCAAACACATTCGCACACCCAGCTTAAGTTCGGCTTTATTATAATTGCGATTACATGTCGCTAAATTCTTCGTGGATTATATCTTTAAAACATGAATTGATTATGATGCTTTGTTGCTGTAGCGTGGGCTAATGCAGGGGCTGTGTTCACGCTCGGCGTCAGAGCTTTGCTTGTAATAGTTTTGTCTCCACTTTATTCTTTGTTTCGCGGTATCTTAGCCATTAGGTATAGTCACTCATACTATCCCTATTTGTACCAAGTTTTTATACCTAGTTTATAACTGCTTTGGTGGCAATTTTCGCCCGGATGGGGTGGGGTGCCTCATTTTTATCGGCTTGTGGCGTTTTTTAGCTTCCCAATTTTTCTGTGCTTGGCATAATTATAAAATATTGTAACAATTTTCTGTAATTTGCTACATTTGCTTAATAAACCGGCATTGTGTTTTGGCACACTGCCATTTATTTATCCAAACCGAAGTATGCTATAATTCTTTAAAGTTGGTCCTCACACAGAAAACAGAGCTCACCCGGTCTATCATTGCCACCAGTGAGAGTATTGGTCTTCATAAATTTATTTTACTATATGAGTTGCACCGCGAAAGCGATAAATAAGTTATTTGCTAAAGCGAATAAACATTTTATTGCTTTCGTGGGGATTATATGGGCTATATTCAAGGATATTGGGGAACGTGGAATGGGGTTTTAGGTTATATATTCATCGCAATTAAACTTGTACAACCTGTTGATTTTCCCGTGGAATATTGCGACATTTCAGTAAATTTACGTATCAAGATTCACGTGAATACGTGAGCCTACCGTATAAAAGTGAGCATGACTGTTAGTTCAAGGTTATTGATTAACATTTCGACTCTCAGCCTCAATATCGCTTATCCACCCTCCCTCCCTCCACTGACCCTTTTTGGGTTTCCTACTTTATAATTGACTTCACGTGGGGCGTTTTTTAGCTCCCCACCTTTTCTGTGCTTGGCATAATTATAAAACACTGTAACAATTTTCTGTAATTGCTACATTTGCCTAATAAACCGGCATTGTGTTTTGGCACACTGCCATTTATTTATCCAAACCGGACTATGTTATAATTCTTTAAATACTGTCCTCACACAGAAAACTGAGCTCACCCGGTCTATCATTGCCACCAGAGTATTGGTCTTCATAAATTTATTTTACTACATGAGCTGCACCGCGAAAGCGATAAAAACTCAATTCAAAATGACAAAAGAAAATCAAATAAAAATATTCGCGTGGAAAAACCAGTGGAGGCGTAAAATAAAACTTCGGAGTTGTATGAGACGTCAGATGTTAAATTTCATGGTGATTAATAATTTAAATAATTTACCATAACACTGACTATAGATGAGTAACTTAACTGCCAGAAAAAGGCAAGAATCTTTTTGTATTTTTGCCATATTTTCACAAAAAAATGAGAGTAAATTTTGATTCTTTGAAAATATACGGCCTTTGCGAGTTGCTACGACTACAGTGCTTCCAAGCCCAGAAAAATATTTTCATAGTTTTTCTCACATACCACGTACCCTCCAAACTCCCAACCCAAATAAATTTTTTAATCATCATGTTACCATCCTTCTTTTAACCGAGGCAAGGGGTTGCGACATGCGTATATTTCTAGTATGTGTATATATCTGTATGTATTGCTCCTAGCTATTGCCTGCCTATTGTCTATTAAATCTTAATTACTTTCTACTTATCATCTGTTGGGGCAGTTTCAGATTCGAAGATCAAGCTAATCTTGTCCACTAGTCGAACCAACACTGATAAGCTTGTCTTTATACTTTCACGGATCGTATTCCGAATGTTGGAATAGACGTCAAGGACGCGTCTCATTGGCCAGCTACAGCTTGGAGCTTTCTCGTCGAGGATTAAGACAATATCACGACTTCTAGATTTCATCGATTCCTAAAGCATTTCTGCCGTTCTTTAAATGAAAGTAAATACTCTCTAATCCATCGCCTCCAAAGTACATTGGCCAGATATTGTACTTTTCGCCATCGCCTCGTGCTGCAACAGTCGTCCTTTGAAAAATTTCCAGGTGATAAATTTGTTCCGCTTCGGAGCAATAGAAGATGGCTGGGGGTTAGGGGTTGCAGATCGTTGGGATCGTCTGACAACTTTGTCAATGGCCATCGATTGACAATAGCTTCGACCTCGCATATCAAAGTGTCGAGGCCTTCGTCATCGAGTAACTGTTCCTTGGTAATAGTTCTGATTATCTTTCGAACTGTTCTTATACATCGCTCTCACACCCCGCCGTGGTGTGAGCCTGCAGGCGGATTAAATGTCCATTTAATGCTACGTTGCACGGGAAGTCTTGGATTTGATTTTGGTTCCATTTTTCGATTTCTTGCCAAAGTTCTCTTTCGCCTTTCAGGAAATTATCTCCGCTGTCCGATCGCATTTCTACAG